AAACATTTTAATTACCTGTACTTTGTATAACTATACCTTCTTGAGTTTTTCTGAAAGACATTTAAACATATGAAAAATGTTTCACTCTGCAATAATAACCCTACTGGGTCTGCTGCTGTGCCCTCCCCTGCCCCTGCTGGGTCTGCAGCAGTCTCACACTTTCTTATTCTGCACACGTAATACTCTGTTCATGTTTACGGTACTGAAAGAATCAAGGTCAATTCTGTTTTCTCCTTTTCTTTACTTCAGAGCATGTTTGCTCAAGATGCACATTTCCCCAGGCTACTGATTGTTGATTGGTCTTCACCTGGGTGTCTGGGGAGGGGTGCCTGCACACCATCTCTCCACTTGACAGTTAATGCCATTCATACAACACTGCTGATGAGCATCCTTTGTCGCAAAATACGGCAGAGAACATAGCAGATGTGTTAACAATCTCCCATTTTCTTACAGATGATCAACTCTTGTGCTGTTAAACTATTAAACTGCTGGATTTTAAACTGTTTTTCCACAAGAGCAAATATATTTTAGTTATCTGAAGGCTTATCTCCAAATAGATGTTCCCAACAGTCTTTGAGGGTTACACTGAGGAATGGACGGCAAAGCTTATTGCCAGACACTGGAATTCCCAGTGCCAGACATTATGGGGCAGAATTCAGCGTAAATATTTCACACCGCTTTCGCTCCCCCAAACTCCTCCCCCCCTCATTTCTTGCTAATTCCTCCAGTTAGTTTTTCTATCCTAATACATAACCCAAGTGGCCCTTTTGCTGTTAGGAAATTGCAAACCATGCCAAGGAACACCTATCTTTGAGAAGCACCTAAGTCACACGTGATGAACTGCAAAGCTCCCACAGAGCAATTTAAAATGACGAATATCCTTTTCAAACATCCTTTTCAAAATCGCACATGGACTTCAGCCAGTCACAAGATAGAGATGTGGAGGATGCATTAAACTCCCCATCTGCTCTTCACATTGCTCATCATGATTTATAACCCACAGTAAGTCATTTGGCCCCACAAACAGAGCTGACGGGCCAGCGCAGCGCCCAGCAGCTGAGGTGTGTACCATGTGAAAAATGTATCCGTGGCATTAATATTTTTCTCCTACCTGCATCCTGACGTGATTTCTATTTCAAGAACACTTCTACCCACTAGTCTTAGGAAAAAAATAAATAAAACACACACACGAAAAAACCCCTGAGGTACATTTTAGACTTTTAGAAAATAAATAAAGCTCTTTAGGGATAACTTTAGACTCCTGATTTCATTAAAGCAGCTTCGATGCATCTTCTCTCCCTTCAAACACAGCAGCTTGTGTAAATTTGTTCTTTCCTGTGTCAAGCCTCCTTAACAAAATAACTTTTTCCTAGATTGCGTACCATTCAACTGGTTAGGAAGACATACAGACATTTCCTTTTTCACAAGCCATGAGAGGGCACTAGATGTTGTAGGAGATAAAATGAAGGCTGTGAATTCATGCAGGTAACCCTAAGGCACAACTAATGTGGCCATGGCTTCCGAGCAGAATCTCAAAGTGGGCAGATTTGATGGCCATCTTCCTCTGCCACTCTAGCCCAGTCCCATCTCCCATAAGAGCTGAAGGCTAATGGAAATTCTTCCAGATTATACCCTGGAGCTGGCAGAAGGCAGATTGTGAAGTGAGGATGTTTGGTGTTGGTGTCTACCTTACTGCATGGCCGTCGTTTTGGCCCCACTGCCCCCTGGCACCCTTCACACTGGTTGCTCAGCAGCGCCTCCCCTCACGGGAACATTCCAGAAGACAGTGCTGTAGAATGTCCCAGGAAGCTCTCACTGCTATTTTCTATTATTTGCCCTCCACTTTCCTCACCTCTGTGCCCAATTTCTCTGCCCTATAGCTAGCTCATCTCTCAAGTATCAGACCTTCAAAAGTTCAAAGTTAAGAACAAACTCATATGATCTGCTCAAGTGCTAATGGCGAATGCAGAGAAAAACACCTCTGACTTGTCTTTCCCTCCAGAACACAGAGCACATTTTAAACAGGGGCTTCTTATAAACCATCAGTTTTCCAACCAAGAGGAAGGTTCTCCTCTGGGGAATTTCAAATTAGATAGGAAAAGAAAGGACATCTTTGGAGAGGCATATCAGTTCCTTCTGAGATACTCTACCTATCTGACAGCTGTCCTGGGTCCTAGCCATATCATCACTGTAATCTTTGGGACCCTTTGGTCATATAGAATAGAGTCTTATCCCGGCTACCTCAAATAATAGGAGAGTTATAAACATTGAAATGAAAGCAACTGGAATTTCAAAGGAACCCAAGAACAGCCAGGGTTAATCAGCTTCATAGAAATGCACATGTCTTTTGGAAACTGGAAAATAGTTTGGGATTCAAGGCATATCTAGGGGATGGGTTAGTTTGGAGTCCCCTGGAGAGCAGGGATTCATCCGTTTCCACACCATCATGAGAACGCAGTTCTTCTTGGCTTCTGTGTCCTTGCTGCCGTCAGACAACCACCTCTTTCTCTCCTCTGCATGCATTTTGATTTCTGCTAACTCATAACTTTTGCTTATTCATAACTTCTGCTCACTCCCAATTTCAGCCTACACACAGCCCCTGCTGTCTCATAGTCCCCACATGTATGTTTTTAGTTTCTGTTCTGGATTCTAATTGACTTACTCAAATATCTCCAGTTTGAATGTCCTAGGAAAAGTTACCTGGATCAGTTAATTAGCATTCTGCTTGTTGAGATAGAGCCTTTTACGCTAGGCCGCAGCCAAAGTATTCTTAGCTGCTAAGAATCAATTTGGCTGGTTTAAGCAAAAAAAGGAATTCATGGGAAGGATATTGGATCAGACAAATGCTCAGAAAACGAACAGCAACTAAGGGAAGCTGAGCAGCTAGCATCACAGCTAAATCATACCTCCAATTTAGGGGAGAGAGGACACTATTACCACCACAGTAGGAGCTATAAATTATAACACACTTCTGGGCACTAAAAAAACCAGGTATCAGTGTTTGTCCCCCAGCCCCTTCTGGTCCCGGGAACTGGACGTTGTTGCAATCCCTGCCACAAAGCTCTTCTCTCAGCTCGTGTGTATGACCAAGCCCTAATTCCAGGTCTAAGGAAGGCGTATTTGATTGGCCAAGGCTCTCTCTCACTCTAGCTGCAATGGGGATTGGGGTAAAGATAAGGAGGGGAGGAAAGAGTATTATCTATATGGCATTTTGAGCTTCCTCAACAGGAAATGGGCTCTGCCTCCCGCCATGGCCTCAACCAGTGGAGAATTCTTCCAATACAGTAAGAGGGCTGGACTATGGGCAGCTGAGAAAAGAACGCCGACGTCCATTACATAATGCAGGGGTGGCTGACCTTGGATTACAAGGTCATCCTGAGCCAATGAGCTCTGCTCAGGGAAGCAGAACATGACTCCTTCACTCAGCAGGGGACTGTGGGCAGGCTGGTCATTTTAATTAGAGTCTAAGACAATCTCCTCACCAAAAATGTACAGGTAATTGTTTCATGTGCACTATTTGCTTGAAGCCACACAGGACATTTAGATCCAAAGTAGGTATATACATCTGTATGCCTGTTTGGACTGTTAAATATTTTAGGGTAGTGACTTTGTCTTCTTCACTTTTATCTCCCTAGTGCCTGAGGGCACTGCTTGGTTTATGGTAGATGCTCCAAAAATGTCTGTTGAATTTAGTAGGACTTGTGGTCCAGGAATTTTTCCATAGTACTAGCTAGACAACACAAATTTCTCCATGCTTTTGGGGAAGCCATGAATTAAACAAACAAACAAAAAGGGCTTATTGACACATCATGCAAGAGTGAAAGAAGTAGGAAGTTTTATGACTTACACACTCTTCTGGGAGTTATCTCAGTTCCTTTCCAGGGCACAGATCTCTGAAATTGGCAGATGGAATGTGAGAACTGCTTGAAAGAAGAGAGACTGCAGCATGGGAGAGAGGGTAGGGTTTGGGAAAGGAACATCAAAAGGGGGGCAGAATTGAAGGAATCAGAAAAAAGGAGAAGAGAAATAGTCCAGGGAGCACTAGACAAAGAACATAAGTTTTGTGATAACCTAGAAGGAAATTAGAGAATGGGCAAAGTACTTCTGAATATCGCTTTGATGGCAGCAAGGAAGGAAAGGTGAAGATAATAATTTTAAGCATTTATTATGTGCAAGACAACTGCTGGGAAGTGTGTGTGTGTGTGTGTGTGTGTGTGTGTGTGTGTGTGTGTGTGTGAATCTATCCCTGACAACAACCTAATAAGGTGGACACTATTATGTCCATTTTATAGATAAGGAAAATGAGGCCCAGAGAGGTTAAGTGATTGGATTCAGTCACACAGAGAAGTGACAGCATCAGAATCTAATGACCTCCATCTGATTCCAAAGTCTACACCTTTTTTTTTTTTTTTTAACAATCCATCTCTCCCTGAGTAAGACAGAAAAGGACAGGGTTGGGGAAGGGAAGTTGGGGTGTTCATGCTCACTAGAAGCTAGAACTATGTATCCAAACTGTGCCTGCAAACTCCCAGGACCTTGAGTGATGCCTGATCTACTTTTGAAGACTTCCTATGGAAGTAAACTGGACAATTAACACTTTATAGATCATTTGTATATGAAATTTAAAGAAAATAAAGACAAGGGAAGCTTTGTCTCATATCAGTTTTGTAACAGTTTGTGTGGTAAGTTGTTACAGCAACCCTAGGAAACTCAATTTAGGAACTGTCCAAAAAAACCCTACGTGTTACCTATTACTTATTTAATTTGTATTGAAATACAATTGGTATTGAAATACAATTGGTATATAACAAATCAAGGTTTTCATGGATATTACTGCTTAAGATGAGGCTAAATAAAAACCCAAGGTACATAACAGAGCACGCAGTGGATGGATATAACAAAACTCATGGAAGTGGCATGTGAACCAGTGATATTTAGAATGCAAATGCAAGTGTGTTGGGAGGGAGGCTGGTCTCTGAATCTGCCCTCTTGACAATTCATCTCGTTCCACCTGCATTTTAGATCAGACACAGAAAGATTCATATGGGTAAGATTAAAACACACCCACAAGTCCTCTGGAGGAGGAAGGGGGAGAGAGAGAGCCTTTGCTCACTTACCAAGGGGGTCTCAGAGTTAAGCCAGATGCTCCCATGTGTCTTCACCTGGAGAACCACTGAACATGGGCACAACTAACATGATTTCAGGAGGGGGTAGGTGGCACTATTTGTGCAAATGTAATGGTCACTGAGATTAGGGCAGCATCCTTCTACGTTGATGTGCATGATTTACTTTCCTGGCCACAGCTGGGCGGTTTCAGGCTGAATGCTTCAGGGCAGGGCGGAGCAGTGGCTGGGGGAAAGGGTGCCCATACCAACACCTCATCTGGGCTCAGCCCGTCGCAGCCACATAGGCCAGAGAGACAACGAACGGGATTGGTGAATGTCAGAGTGGAAGAGACTTCAGACATCAAATGATCCAAGCCTCTCACTTTCCAACTGAAAACCAGGAATCCAGAGTCGCTGGGTGAAGGTCACAGGGCTGACTGGTAACGGAAGTTAGTCCTATCAGTGAAAGGCTCCCCTTCCAGACTTCTTTGAAGATCTATGAATGTCTAAGTCCGTCACCCATTATAGCCTTGTATGATTGCCTGTCTCCCAAGCAGTGACAGCAGCTGCGATCTCGTTCAACTCCTGTGATGATCTGGCAGAGGGTTCAGAGAAGAAAGAAGGCGCTGAAGAAGAGAGACGCCTGAGGCGAAGCTCTTCATGGAATGGGGCGGTGCCGCCACGCGGCTCAGAGCAGGGCTCGCTGTGATGCACCGGGCTCGCGGTTTGGAGTGGGCCCTGCGCGGGACTCCGACAAGATGTAAGCGAGGAAGAAACTTGGCAGAAAGTAGATGTTTTCGTCTGCAGAGAGAGATCCCTGAGGCCCCAAAGAAACTGCACTCTCCCATCCTACCCCGCTACACACAAAAGTTAGGAGCAGCACACCTGCCTTCCCCAGATGGGGCTCCCCGCGCAAACGCCTCCTCGTCCCCCAGGATTTTCCAATGTTGGCGCAAGCTCCTCCCTCGCCGGAGCGGGGCTGCAGTCCTAGCGCCAGGCGTCCGCCGGAGCAGCGGCTGGGGGGCGGCGGGGAGTGGGCCCACCTCGCCTCCATTGGTTGTGCGGGCGGGAGGGGCGGAGGGAAGACGCGCTGTCCCGCGGACTAGGCGGCCCCGCGCTCACTCCCGCCGTGCCGGCTGCAGCGTGTGCGCCCCAGCTGCTCGTGCGCCCCTGCCGCGAGCCCCACATTCCTGCGGACGGCTTCGCGGGCTCCGATCGCCGAGACAAGGGGCAACCGCGTGGAGCTCAGAGAGGCCGGGGGAAGTCGGCGCGTCCCGACCAGCAGGTTAGTGAGGGGCTCCCGACACTGCTCGCGAGCGGAGGCAGAGGAGTAAGGAGCCGGGGACGCGCGGGGCGTGGAGCGCTGAAGGTGGGCTCGCCTTCTCCTGGGGGCGCCCTGATTCCTCGCCTGGGGCGGCCTCGGGTCCCGGAGGCTCCGCTCCCTCTGGAGTCGCCTCCCAGACTCTCCAGTTCCTGGACACTCATCAATCGCCTTTGCGGCGGGCCGGCGTCCTTACGGACCCCAGCAGCCTCCGCCGCCGAGCTCTCCCGATTCTCGGGATGACTTCGCGGGGCTGCGCAATGCCCTTGGCCCCAGAATGACCCGCTTCCGTCCCGGACATAGGGAATCGGGAAGACCTGCCCTCGCGTCCGCCGCTGCACAGACTGATTTCTCCGTGCAAGCGTAGACAGTTCTACACTTTGCAGGTGCTTCTCGGTGCATTCTGTTTTTTCCCTTTGTGGTGTGTGCGGTCATTCTTGTGTTTGTTTTACGTCTATCTGGATTTCCAGGGCCATCGGTCCCTTCCTGGGGACTCGCCACGCGCACTGTCTGCTTTACACCTTACGGTGCTCGCGTGAGTCTCTTCACCTGTTTTCGGTGGCTCCTAATCCGAGGAAGTTTTACCTGGAGCTAAACAATTGGGCTCCGATCGCTGAGACTTGAGCGCCAGCGGTGGCTTCCCGAGTTCCCGGAAAACCTGGTGGGAAACCGCACCACCTTCCTTCCCCTATTCCCGGGTCTGATGAGACGCTGGAATATCCTGCGTTTCCGGTCGAGGTGCGTAGATGGTGGACAAATTGTTGGAGTTCTGATTTAGGAGGGAGATGTGTGATATGCCCTTCTCGGGGTTGCAGAAGGACCCATTCATTCACAGAAACGTCTTGTTGAAGACCAGGTTTGCATCTGTACTTACGCGCTTTGCGGCGCCAGATGCCTGGGGCCCGCCGGGCTTGGGTTTTGGTGTCAGACTGCAGAGATAGGGTCTCTTTGTTAGCGTCCTTGATTTCCTCTGCCCGTTCAATTTCCTTCGGAAAATGTACTGCTAAAGTGGGTAAGTACTTACTTACGTGGTTCTTTGTGGTGGATAATGGGATCCGAGGGCTCTGGACATCTCAAAACCGTAGCGTTTGGTTGGGTCCACACTGCAGGTGCAAAGGGCCAGAACTCTGCAGCTGTTACGTCTGTCCCAAGCCCATCCGCGGGACCACTCCCCAAGATGTTTGTCTTCCGGTACTTGGCACTTTAGAGTTTCCAGATTTATTGTCAGGCAGCAGCCTATCAACAGGAAGAGAGGCAAGCTAAGTGATACTCTTTTCTTCAAAGGTTTACCTTTTAATGCAGTCTTGCATCCCAATGCACCCTCCTTAAAAAAAGGAAAGATAATACTTAATTAGCTTAAATTATGCAACTAGTCTGTTTTAGCTTATTTGTTATCCAGCTCCTAGAGGTTCTTAAATATACCAGGGGAGCCAAAAATAAAAAATGTATACAAGTGGACACTTTGGTCAACGTTGCTCAAGCAGCAGTTCACTGTAATCAGAAGTGTCTGGATGCTGATGGTAACCACTTTGAGCACCTCTTGTAATTGCAGAAGTCAAACGTGACTTGTATTCATCGTTTGTTATCTGTATATATTGAGTATTACAATTTTAATAGTTTTCCCCTTTCTTAAAATGTGTATACGTTTTTTTGGCACTCTCTGTATTTGTGACAAAAATGCCTCTTCTTGCTAAGTATGGTGATGTCTTGTCTCCCACCCCTACCATCACACATGTACACTTTATACTCAGCAGGTAGCTAACGCTTACTGCCAGTGGCTTTCTGAAGTGTGTGTTAGTGAGACTGCCTTGCATCGAGTAGCACTGACACCCCTCTCACAGGGCATGTCCTAGTCACCTTCAAATGCTGGGCATTGTAAGGATGGGGAACCATGTGACAACGCCAGAACTACTTGGGGAATACTGAGTTCCCCAAAACGGGTGGGATATTCCATTTCTGTGTTTTGTGTTTGAGGCTTATTATTTATTTGCCGTATTTATGTAGTATATTTGATTTCTCTACGTAAGGCAAAGTGCTTTGAAGAGCTCAACACATTGTGGTTCTCATTAAAGAAAGCTCGCGTAAGATGATATTTTTTCCGTTCTCCCCGCGGTGAGTTAGTTCAGTTCAGCAGAATTTATTGGATGGTGTGCACAGGCTTGTTAAGGGTTAAGAACTAAGTAATGGCGTGATGTCCTGTGGCATCAGCTCCATCAGAGGGTTTATTTACAGGTTTCTCGAGTTCCTTTTTTTTTTCTTTTTTAATGAGGGCAGATGAAGGATGACAGAGCTGATTGGTGAGAATGATTAATCATACTAATCATTAACTAAACTTGCAGTCATGTGTTTATTCTAAGAATGAAAAATGAGCCCATCACAAGCAAAATCCTCTGATTTTTGCCTCTATTCCAGATCAACTTTCAGCCCATTTGATAATGTCCCTTCCTCTCTGGACTTACCCTGCTTCCTGAACTTGTATTTTAATACCTGATTTTTTTTTTAACTTTGTAGAGTTTATGTAAGCATTTTTATACATGTAACTAGTTATTATGGAGAAGCAGAAAGTGAACTTAGGGACTAATTTTTGTGTTTTGCTCTTTTGGGTTTTTTAAATAGTAATTTAATAACCTAGAAAAATACATTTCTAAAAGTCCCTTGACATCAGACTCTGTGTAGGTCCCGGTCGCTTGCCTGGCTCCTAGCACTCCCGGACAGAAAAATGCCATTTTCTTCAAATAGATATGTGTGGAGTATTATTACATTACTATGTTAATATAAAGCATCACAGGCTTAATTTTTATAGACTTGCTTATGTTCACAATTCGAACCAGGAAATAGCCATTGTTTAGTCTATACTAAGTTTTGGTAAGAACAACAACAAAATGGAGATTCTGAGTAAAGTAGCCATACATAATTTAACAGTATCTCTAAGCATGAAATGGCACAAACCAGCCAAAATAGTGCCAATATTTCAAAGTTCTAAACTTAGGTCAGGAACAGGATGGACTGTCATTAGTATTTCCTGAGTTCCTACCTTTTAAATTTTTATCTATTAAGTTATATTAAGATTGGAAATCAGTTGGTCCAGATTTACAATTTGTATTATGGGCTTGATGGTTGATGCTGAGATTATTATAGACAATAGTGAAAGGGTCTGGAAATTGTAAGCCTGTAATAGTTGTTAAAAGTGCTATCTTAAGATAATAAACCTGAATACAATTTTTGATGGGAAACAACAAAATAGGTGGCTGTAAGAACTTCTTTCAAATGTAGAAAGACAGGAAGATGACTTAAACCACACAGGTAAGACACTAAGGCATTTTATTCAGGGAACATTCAATCTATAGACTTGCTCCCCAGGGGAAGCCAAAATAGCAGCTTTTTGGATTAATTTGCCATTGGAGCCTGGTACTGATTAGAAGTGCCTGGTAATCTAGCAACTGTTGCCAATTAAACTGGTTTGGTTCTTACTCACTTTCACTTCTCCTGGGACCAGGATGACAGCAAGAGAGGGCCACTCTTGTCATTTCTTAACCAGAACATTCACAGCATCTCGTAAAATACATTGTGCAGTTAAGCCTATTGGGCAGATTGACTTTCTGGCCTCAGCCTGAGAGTCTTAAACTTTGAAAGAAAAGGTGCATATGAATGAACCATTTCAAAATATTGCATTAAGTATATGCAGCACAGAAAAAGGAGGGAAGGGGGGAAGGAGGCAAAGGAAGAGTTCTAAGCTTAAAAAGCAGTTGTGGGGTGGCTCGTTGCTCAATTGGTTAGAGTGCAGTGCTCATTACACCAAGGTTTCTGTTTCGATCCCCACATGGGCAGCTGAGATGTGCCCTTCACTAGGTTGAAACTAGATTGAAACAACTACTTGACTTGGAGCTGATGGGTCCTGGAAAAACACAGTTTCCCAATTAAAAAAAAAATTTTTTTTAATTAAAAAAAGAAACCAGTTGCATTTTCACTGCATATGCTATAAATAAATTTTATCTCTATTAATGAAAATACCTTTATTTTTTGTCTGATTATAAAATAATACATGTTCTTTGTATCAAAATTCAAATATAGACATGCACAAAATAGACTATGAACATTCCCATAATATCACCCACAAAAACATATGTTAGCAGCTTGGTGCATGACCCCTTGTTTAGTTTAGTTTAACTTGGTTTTGTTTTGTTCTATTTTGTTTTGCTTTTGCATGCCTCTAAAATTGTGTATGCATGCATAGTAGTAGTAGCAGCGCTAGTAGTCGTTGTTTTACAGAAATGGAATTATACTACGCTGAGTTCTGAAGCTTACATTTTACTTAGCCAAACATGCCCAGCATCTCTCCATGTTAGAAAATACGCCTCTTTTTACTACATCAGAACCCTCCTTGTATGACTCTTTCATCAGTTATTTAATCAGTCCTTGACTCATGGACATCTTGGTAGCTCCAATGTTTAGCTACAGAATACAACTTTGTGCGTACATATTTTCAACTTGCCTGATTTTTTTCCCATGGGATAAATTCTCAGAATTCATTACTTACATTGTTAGCCTATAATGCCATTTTTTTTTTGAGTGAAAAGGGAAGCACTCAAATACTTCATTCAACAAGTGGTAGACATTACCCACAGGATCTTTTGCCCTTAAAAAAAAGGCTTTTATTGCTGTTTAACATTCATATAGAAAAGTACACAATCATAAGTATATTTTATGATTTATGTGTTCAATTTGAACACACCCATGTAAATGGAACCCAGGTCAAAAAATATATATGTATTTGCCAATACCCTTCTTCATGCCCTTCATATGTTTTGGCAACCTGTCATTCTAACAATTCCTCATGAGAAAGTTCTTGTTGAGCTTGTTGACCTCCATTTCCATGAGTCAAGCGCTAGATTAAGGACAACTGTGCTTTTAAGATTGACAGTGGGATGTTGATTGATGGAATTTTTAGACCTTCAGAAAGACTC